TATAGGCATAGTATATATCATACAATATGTATATAAATACAGTTTAGTTGTATATAAGAATACACAATCACCTTCATCATACCTGCATTTGAACTGTGCACAGGCGCGCGCGCATAGTGCCTCCGGTATGCAGTCTGCTCACGTGCGGATTGATGTGTATGTGTGATCGGTGTTTTCATGCCACAGCCACCACAAATACCAGCAACCTAGTTGAGCTTGTTTAGCCATGTTTCGAAGATCGTTCTGCACATATGGTACACGCACAATGATGCTCTACAAACACCAACAATTGCGCTTGGGATTGCGCTTATATAGCCCACCCTTGCACTGTCGATGAGTGTACTCAAGCTGCCGTGTCTATTCTTATCTATCTGCAGATCGTCTGCCCCTAAGCTCAAGAAGAAGCGCAAAAGAAAAGGTAGGGGCAACCACATGACTTTTTATCAGCCAATGCATATAAAGTTCTAGTATAAGAAGGGGCTTGCTCGGATATGAGAGTTAGATTGCTCTACAAACACATCCCGTCATGCAATTCTTATGTTACTGCATATAATCATGTGTGCACAGGTAAACTTCCCAAGAACACGAACGTCGTCATAGACCCGGAACGCTGGCTGCCGAAATATGAGCGCTCATACAATAAGCGCAAGTATAAGAACAAAGCGGTATGTGTACTATGGAGCCCCTCAATTGGTAGGAGATGACTATGTATATTACCTCACCTGAAACTAGTTGGGAAAAGTTGGATCGAGTTGGGCATGCACACCAACGAATCATATGGCTGTGCTCTTATACATAGCATGTAACTTGGTTCTCGTATACGTATTGTATCACTACTACACACGAACATACACACCCACCCACCTCTCACAGTCTAAACCCACAAATCCGTTGTACCTCAGCTTCTGATTGCGTTCCTTCAAGTACCATCTGCGTCTAAAGTCTCCTGTTTCACTACACCCGCACCTCCAAACGCGTACAGCAACCGGTACGCGGCAATCAAGGTGCAGTGGTGTCCTCGATTTCTGGCCAGACCGGGTCTGCAGACAAGACTAAGTTGGACTACAACGACGGTACTACTAGTACGCCGGCAGAGGGTGCGGCCTCACCCAAACCCACACCTAAGGCCGGGGGAGGTAACGCTAACAAGAACAAGAAAAAGAAGAAGCGCAAAAAGTAGTATTCTTCGAGTTACTGAAGTATTAAGGGTTAGAGGAGAAATTAGAAAGACTTTACTCAGACATCCAAGATTACCTTTTAGGGTACTGACGGAGAACTCACCCTCCCCCCTGTCTATTATCTGATATCTGATAGATAAACTATTATTGATGATGGAGAAATGATATTTCAAGTATAGTTTTCTTTCGCAGATAAATACCTACACTCCTTGTCGGTCTGGTGCATTGCTAGCGCAGCGCTTGTATTCTGGTGACAGTGTACCATCTGCATAGGAACAAATAGCTGACAAGTCAAGCTTTATACGAGCTATATTCCAACCTGGAACACCGCAAAACGCTATGGAGGGCATTTGTTGCCGTATATCACTGCGCACAGTCTTGCGTATGCTATCATTTGCAGTTCTAGTGCCTATGAATTACAAGGAGCCCGTAGCAGTAGTGTGCTATGCTGGGCTGATTGTGAGGTCAGGTTTTTACCCGAGTTCTGCTGAATACGTTTAACTGTAGATTGATCGCAGAACATGGGACACACTATAGAAGTATGACTTTCACTCGGTTGCTATTGCTATGTGGAGGGCTCATTCGCAGTGTGTTGCTACAGTGTATTCTCGACTCTTCTACAGCGCACAGTTGGGGTGGTACTAGTCTCTCAGCGGTAGCATGGGGTTCCCGGCGCGACGCACATGGAAAAGTATAATGTCTAATTTCAACCTCAGGTATATATTTAGAAAACATTATAGGACTCGCGTTCACAATACACTCAAATCAAAACCAACTACTCGGTGTCAACATAATCTAATGGAACCAAATTCATACATAAAGTTAACTGTAGTGGGCGTTCTAGTAGGTAGTAAACGTCAGCATGGCAGGAAGTGCGAGCCCTGCATTAGTAAATACTAACCGAAGATGCATCCCATATCGTGTCTCGTGACGATCGAAATGTTGGTCTCTGTTGTGGCGATCCCGCTGTCTCTGGGTGCGCTAGCCAATCCAGAACAAGCATGCAGTGGTGCAAGCACACAGCTATCAGTTTCGACTAGGGTATCTGCAAGTGTGCATCTACAAAGCCTTAGGTATTAGCGAATTCTGCACAACCACAGTCTAAGAAGCCAAAGCATCCCAAAGCTCTAGCTCATACGACCACACCATATTATCTGGAACCAAAGCCACCCGAGGCAAAGACTCATACGACAACACCATATTATCTGGAACCAAAGCCATCCAAAGCTGCAGCGCATTCTGCACCACCACATTAATATCTGAAAAGAAAAAGCCATCCAAAGTCCAGCTCATATCACAGCACCTAACATTCTATAAAATCAAAGCCACCCAAAGCTCTACTGCTATTTCACACAGGGACCCATACTTTGCACCTTCAATAGGCCCTACACCAATAGAGCGGCACCACATGTAACGCCAGACGCGATACCGTGTATCGGCTCAAAGCGATCAAAAGCCCCTGCCCCCTACACTATACCACACGAGGCGCCATATACCGTACCTCCTACATGCTGGAAGTACCTCCCACGTGCTCAAAACTGATTAAAGGCTCAGGGCCCAAAGCCATCGAAAGACGCAGTTCATACTGCTGCATCACATAGAAAATCACCCGCAGTTCTGTCTACTTTGAACTTGAAGCCATCCTATGCTTTAGATACTATTAGGTACTATTTACACGGAGAGCCATATAAAACATTTTCAGCGGACACAAGCCGAATGAAGGTCTCAGCTCCTACCGTGGCACGTGCAGCCACCACTATGATACAGCATGGAGAACCATGTTAGTGCCTGTGATGCGATTGCTGCCATCCAAAGCTTAAGGCACTGGAAGCCCGGACACCAGAAAAAGCCTTCAAGGTCTTTGATACCGGAACAAAATAACTCAAGCTCAGAAGTGCGGAGGTTACCTAGCAGATCTCTGATCTGTGTGCGGATACACACCATCTTGCTCTGACAACAAGGGATGGTTGAGATGTGTCACGCTGACCAAGAATGCGACGGAAGCCACGGAGTGACTGATATTATTTTTGGCCAAATGCAGAATGCGGCATGGCGCATGCATGCATTCCCCGAAACATCCCCAATCGAATTGCGAGTACTACCGGACGGACATGTCCAGCTGACTGCTAGCCTGCTACACAACGGGACTGTACTCCGTATATTAAAATACTCTATAATACTCTTGACATATTAATGATTTAATACCGACGAGGCACTGGCCAGTCACTGGAGCAGTCATTGCCACAGGGGTGTTGTCTCCGATAGTCCGATTGCTGTGAAAAGTGATCACATCCTAACACCATCGAATGCCTCGACACCTTCGATACAGCCAACCCCTCAGACAACATGTGGTGTTTTCCAGATGAGCTATCTCTGTTACACATTGAACGCCTTTTTGTTGTTCAGCGAAGGGAGGGGTATGGTGAACTGACAAGGACCCCGCAAGGACACGTGTTGTTTGTGTTACGGTCTGTTGTGCACACACCCCGGAACCTTGTTAAACAAGGTGCGAAGTTTTTCTAGCACATTTGCCCTTGTACACATACGCGACTGTTCTTGGCTCTGATAAGGATCGCGTGGGACACGCTAGCAGAGACAACGAGGGATGGCCTGCTGATCGCACGGAAAATGCTGTGAGCAGTCCAAGGTGCGCTGGCGACAAACTTCACCCTATAAGACGACAGACGCTTCCTATTAAAACTTTTTTTGATGCAAAATCGGGGTAGTATCGTGATATTGCATGTGGTGCTGCTGCCAAGTACCTGAATATATGACAAACTTGAACTCCTGCATCGCACTGTATTCCAAAATACGAGGCGAATATTCGAGACCTTAGTTGAGCCTATTCTAGACTGGTTTGTTGCTGTAGATAAAGCATTCGAGAACAATTATGAAGAACTGAATAGTGAGCTTAACATATTGCATTAATTGCTACAAATACATACATATATATACACACACACACACACACACACACACACACATATATATATATATATATATATACGTATGTATATATATATATATATATATATATTATTTATACACTTATACATACATATATAGATATATAGATTATTATTTGTTATATATATATATATGTATATTATATAATATTTATGTTGTATGTGTTCACACATACAAATATAAATTTGTCTGTCTATATATATATATAGATAGAAATACACACACACATATACATATAAACATACGGATATACGTCAACGAATTGTGTGCTACTTTCCAATAATTTATTTATGTCTAAGTTTGACCGGCAGTGCTAATAATACATGCCTGCGATTTAAGATGGGTCGGTCCCACTCTCCACTAGTACACTCACTTCTTATGAGTTCTACTATGGATATACTAATAAAGCTCCTCGGAAACGTCGGAGGGATGCTTTGCTAAAGTCACCGAATATTGTGGTGATATTATAATAATTTGAGGCTTCAGTCTCTGTGAAGGCTTCAATTTTGAATTTCTTTTTCAGACGGCTGCGCTACCACGATCAACGCATAGCCAACGAATGGCCACCATGTATCCATGTGGTGTCGTCCGCCTGAGGTCTTATATAAAGAGACTCGATTCTCTGATCTTATAGTCTAAATACGCATCATCGTGAATGGTTCACGAGAATGTCTTGATATTCCACGATATGTTTTGGAGATATCTGAGGGTACGGTTGATGCTCTACGTAGGGCTCAACCAAAAAAAGTCAGGTTCAGACATGTTCATATCCATTCTTGACATTGGGGGTCCTAATGAGTACCGGAGTACTGCCCAAGACCCCCCCTGGGTTGTATAGTGGCCACGGTCTTACGACAGCGCGGAGTCCACATTCATGGTGTTATTCGCCCGGAAATAAACCCACTGGCTAAATATCTCCACCGAAACGTAATATATATATAAATATATATAGTATCCCAAAAGATATAATTTCCAACATTTGTAATAATAGCCTGGATATGCGGGGCTTCAAGCACTGTGAAGGCCCCCTTAACTGGTATTGTTGATAAATAATATGTGACTATACCCTTGCCTTACAGCGCTGCACTCATGTACGCGATCCATGCACAAGGCACCGTACGCACCTGGGTGTATCATATCAAACCACACGCACGTGGCTAACATGGCGAGTAGTTCTCCGCACTGTAGAGTTCGGTACACTCCCCCACATCTCAAGACATGTGGCTTGTAACCGCCGCTCTATGAGCGTAGCTTGAGTAGTGGTGCGGCTGCCCTACATCCGCATAGTACTGTCTGTAGTCGACCGCATTACTCTGCTGGACGTCTCGCTGTGTATATGTGAAGGGGTGTGCTTTATAAGATCTTCCTCCCCTCTGCTGCATCTGTGGTGGTTGTGGGAGTGCCTGTTGCTGTGGCGATTGCTCGTCGGCCGTTAGATCCGTACCACGACTCACATCCGCCGACATTCCATTGTCAAGTGTTGACACGTGCGCGTACGTGTGCGAGTAACTCAGCGGAGGTGAGAGTGCCTGGCACTGGCTCGGTGGTGTCTGTATGACCTGCTCTACCATCTGGTGACGGCCGGTTGCCTGGTTCATGGCACCGGTTGACGAGCCCCCGTGATATGACATGCTGTCATGTGAACTAGGTGACGCCAGGTCTCCACCGCATGAATCCTGCCCTGCCTTTAGAGCCCTGTCCTTCGCTTCTTGCTGTTGCAGCCTCTTCCGTGCCCGTTCGGCTCGCTTACGTGCAGCATCCTTATCTCGTTTCTCCTTGGTCGATGGTTTAGGCGGTTGGCTAGGCTTGATTCCCAAAGCCTTCTGCTTAGCCCTCTCCAGACGCTTTCGCTTTGCATCTTTCGCTCGCAATTCATCGGCCTTCTCCTTGGACATCAACTTACGTGTACGTGTGACCTTAGACATCGATGCACTTGTCCCCTGCACCTTGAAAGTCGTACCCAGAGCGCTCTGAAGTGCTGAGCCTTGTGCAGGAGGTGTATAGTGTTCGTACATATACGTCTGATTGACCGTGCGAGTGTCAGATTCCGAGTTAAGCTTTGCACTCGTGTCGCCCATCAGATTCACGTCGTCCAGCGAGCCTGTATTGGAGTGCATACTGGCAAGCGTATAAACCGGGCTGTTGGTATTGACATGCCTGTTGTCCAAAAACGCCAGCTGCTGCATTTCTGCAGGTGAGTGGGGTCGTGTGTGAGCGTGTACTCCTTCCTGGGGTGTCATATACGAATGCCCTGTCCCGCCAACGCGTGACTGTGCTGCTTCGTTCGTATTGGCTGCCAGAGCATACCCGTTTGCCTGAGCGAGTGCTTCTGCGGACTGCGTCAGTTGCTGTATCTGTGATTGTGTCTGTGGCTGACGATAAAGCTGCTGTGTCTCATGTTGTAGTTTACGTGTCTGGTGTTGCTCACTGGTCTGCTGACCAGATAGATTCAACTCTGATCCAAAATTAGACAGCACCAGTTCATTTTCACCAATAGGAGTGCCAATAGAATATCCACTCGTACTCACTTCACGACTGAGTTGTTGTTTATCCCCAACATTGGCCATGCCACTCATCGAGTGATTCAAAACTATATCTTCACCGTGCTGGTGCACGTGATCACCAAGTCGCACCATCATCTCCCACTTAGATGACATAACCGATCCTTGTTTATTTAGGGTTTCAAAGGTAGCATTCGCCTTATCCGCATGCTTGTCTATAGGCATCATCTGCATGCCAACCACCGGAGTTATGGAGCCAAAAAAAGCAGCATTAATATTGTGCTCGGAACCATGCAGTGTTGACACATCTGTACGGCCCAGTGTATCCACACCACGCTCCCATTTGCCCAATCGCACACCCAACAATTCACTGTCACTTCCTGCGTCGGAAGATTTTTTCGCTTTACCTCGGGCAGTCTTCAAATCTACGGACTGAGAACTAGGCAAGCTCAACGGTTCAGCTTGTCCGATTATTCCTGTATCCGCCTTTTCAGACAGCTTCTTTGCTAGTCTCGCCTTAGCACGTGATGCCTTCCTTCGATTTGCATCCACTTGCTTTCTTCGCGCAATCTCCTCCGGCGAGAGTGTCTGCTTCATTCTGCATCGCTCATTTCTCTTCCTTTCCGCATCTTTTGCCCTTAACAACTCCTTCCTTTCCTCGCTGAGTTTCGCACGTCGCTGTGACGATAAACTAATACCAGTACTCGTCTTTCTAATAATAGATCTGGGTGACTTTTGCGACTGCTGTGGCCTTTGTGGCCGTGGTAAGAGTGTAAGGTCATGAGTACTACCGTAAGCGCGCGTTTGTAGTACATTCGAGGGTGCGTGTGACTGCATGCGACCGTAGTAATGGACATCTCCCATCGGTAAAGCAGACATCGACATCGTTCCACGCAGAAACATAGATCCTGAAGACGCATGTGTAGGCCTTTGCTGATGAGGTTGTAGGCGTGTACCTACACATCCCTGCATAGTGGTTGCGAACTGGTTCATCAAACCGGTCGATCTTGCTTATATATATATATATATATATATACGTCTATCTATATATAAATATATATATACGTCTATCTATATATAAATATATTTATGTACATATAAATATGTTATATTGGATCAGAAACCCTAGTCTGTATCTGTTTACAAGGATTACACCTCGTTGTATTAAAAGCGCCTTGAGGTCTAACAAACTCCTCTTGAGTGTGATTGTGAGGATAGCATAACACTAATATCTTCGAACAGGAGTATTCACTGTTTGTACAATGCCTGCGTTTTAATTTAACGAAATACATATACCGTTTTTTTTGGTTTTGTAAAATATATTATATATAGTATAAAAATAGATATCAAAAGTGTGAAGACTAACGACATACGACTCATCACGACTGACCCCAGAAAGAGTGAAGGCCACCTGGCCGGTGGGCGGGAACTGCGTCTCGGCCAGGCTGGGCTAAAAGGTAAAAAATATAAATAGAACAATTTTTGGGAGCAAAATAATAGTAAATAAAGTTTTGGACAGCGCACAGTGCTCAATTGACGGTGCACACTCTACAGAGTACACTACACATTACACAGTACAGTGTACACCCTGTCAGAGTCCCAGGCCCTGTACAGGCACTCACACTCTAGGTCAGGTGCCAACTGCCAAAAAAGAAGCGAGGCGAGAGTGGGCCCAGGAACGAAGTCCGGGACTTCCGGGGACTTCAGGAGTTCTGGTCAGGTCAATTTCGGAGTATTTATTTAATTTACAAATGTCAGTAATTTATAAATAAAAATATATTTATATTCATATGAAGCCTTATTGAGGACTTGAGGTGAGACGTCTGAGAGACTGAGACTCTTGAGTAATGACTAGTGAGTACTGTGTGTTTTTTATAATGTTTTGCTTTTAAAATACAATACATATAAATAATACAAAAAAACAAAAACAGATCATTTAAAAATATATACATAAAAAACATACTTATATATTAAACATAAAAACTGAAAATAAAAAAATTTAAATAAAAAAACAACAGACTTTAACTCTTCCCGCGAGAGAGAAAAGTCTTCTTGAAAAAACACATGCCTGATCGCCGATTCGCCAATCGGACAATCTATTTGAGGTGTGACATTGGAATATATATATATATATATAATAATATAATATATATATATATAAATAATATAAATATATATAT